ACAGAATTACAAATGCTTTTACGCAATGAAAGTACGTGCAAAAGTAAATACAAGCATTGCTCAATATGTGATGAAAACGAACAAAAAATTTTTAATGTAAAATCTCAAGCTGTCAGCGTAATATTTGTCTAATTCAAAAATTCCGCAGGTTGTATATACTGAAAGTGTGGATGCTCCAAACAGAAAAATTTTGATAAACATTGCTCTACCTTCGCATTTGCATTTGGACACTTAAAAATACCGAAAAAGTTTGCAGAAAGATTTCTACGTATATATGGTCAGGTTTTCCGTTGAATATGGCAAAATAAAGCAACACACATTCATGTAAGTTCTGTATAAGAAATACGAAAAGGATAGCTTATATTAGTGACGATCGTTTCTGCATTATCGACATTGTTCGAGTTCGTCATCGACTCCAGCATCCCCTTGAGGAAACCGCGTGATTTCGCGGAGAATCTCGTGAATCTCGAACGTACCTGGCACCTTGCCGTGCTTGTGTGGCAGCAGGGGGGCTTCCATCGTCTTGCTGGTGTAGCTGGGCGAGCTGGTTTGACTGAAGCTATCCGACGAGACGTTGCTGTCCTGCCGGACGCTGATGGGCTTTGGCACAGGACTCTGGCAAATGGCGCTCAACGGCGGCGGCAAATTCGTCTGCGTGGCCTTCGGCAGTTTCTCGAGCTTCTCGCCGGCGGCCCGCTCCTTTCTCAGATTATGCTGCAAAATATTCCTAGCCCTTTCCATGTCACTTTCGTATTTGCTGCGCGCAATCGGATGCTGCTGCTCTAAAGCCTTCTGCTCGGCGTGGCAACGTCTATCGAGATCCTGCGAGGTACTTTCGAGCTCCTCGTATCTAAACGCAGCAACGTGTCGCGAAATTCGCGCGTTTAAACTACATCTACCATCCATCCATCCAAACCGTGCGCTCTGGATCCGAGTAATTTTCGCTTGCGCGTTCGCGCTGTCATCGGCAGAAGAGAGAGGAGAGAAAAATCGCGGGAGAGAGTCGAAGAATCGCGTCGATCGAGCGAGGACACCGAAAAAAGCCGGATTAAGCGACAAAATACCTGGCTGACTTGTCCTTGTTCATCCGTCTCTCGATATCCTGACGCCGTCGGTAATCGTCGTCCTCGTGCAGACGTCTCTCCAGATTCTTCGATGCCGCCTGCAGTTCCTCGAGCTTGGACCTGCCGCGCTCTGCTTCACGGCCCGAGGCTAAGATCGTCGTCGTGTACTTCGACTCGTCCTCGGGAAATGTCTCCTTCTGTGATAACGCCGTCTCCTCCCTGGGCTTGTTCTCGGGGGGTTCCTTCTGCTCGCAGCTCCTGGACTCGTTCTCCTTTCCTAACTTCGATGTTTGATGCCTGAAGAGAGAGAAACAGAGAAAGAGAGAGAAACTATGTCAGTAACGAATAATGAACAACTTCCTGAAACTGAAGGTTGCTTGTCTCGTCAATAGATCGTTACATTTCTCTATCTAACACTTTGCAGTCTTAGTAGTGTACGACGCGCACGGGAATGCGAGCCTGAAGGGAGGCTCTTTTCTGCAACACGCGGTTCATATTCCAAACCGCGAGGAAGCCGAGTCTGAAGGCGCGGTTTCGACAGTGAGGGAGGCGAGTGTTCTCGCGCGAACTTCCAGGCGAGCAGTTCGCCCGAGATAGAGTCTGAACTTACGCCTCGTTTAACGAACCTATCGTGAACGTAATCGGCCGTAACATCTTGCTCCAGCTTGACCCGGGACTCGAGTACGTTACCGTACACTTTGTGCGCGCTGGTGTACGAGCAGAAAAGCACGGCGAGAGAGCTCTGCTCTCGAGCAGTTTTCACTTGGGAGTTTCAGCACATCGCGCTTTGCCCGAGACAGACATGTGGAAAGTGGACGAGGACGATGACGATAACGGGCATCGTATGATAACGATATCGTTTGCACATTTCGTATTTGTGAGGGAATACGGTAAATACGGGCGGCGCACAAAGCGCCCGGTAATTCTCCTCGTGTATCGAATACATTCGTAATTAATACGTTTGTAACGAAACGCGGTGGATCTCGCTGACGCTCCCGAGCGAGTCACGCGGATCGGTGAATAATCATATCACCTGTTATGTCGCGACGACGAGGTGGTCGCGTTCTGCCGTTGGCGAGAATCCACTCGGCCACTCGAATCCTCGAACTTCGCCTCGGCGCTCTTAATAATTCTCTCGTGGAGTCTCTTCTCGAGATCCAGGGAGGCCTTTTGCAGCTCCTCGAAGCTCGACTTTTGGACGAGCTTGCGTCCTTCTTGAAAGTTCGCCCGCTCGAAGTCAGCGACAAAATCGTTATGCTCGTTCGTTCCCCGCGCGTCCTTCCCGCCGTAACTCAACAAATAATCCTGCAATCCGTGAAGAGACGAAGGCATATAAATGGAGCCCGTCCCGAGGGTAGTTGCGATAAGTCCTCCTCGGTTGGAAAAGCTCTTATCCGCAGTTACGTCTATTCAATATACATAACTCATACTGACTTAACTCCCCGCCGATATCCATGAAAAAGAAGAAGAAAAACGATTTGAAAGGATACAAGGGATATTTAGGTGTGATATCATATTTATATTGGCAAACCCTCACGGTCTCGCACGTACTTATTTTTTGATACTAAATTACATATATCGAAGAAGAGTACAACATTTTCAGGCTGAGCGTAAAGTAAGATAAAGGTATCAATTCCTGGACACGTATCTAATCCTGGACATTCCTATTGTTTTAGTCTTTAAATATTTAAACTTTCAACGTAGAACATATTTATATAATCAGTACTTGTATACATATTTTATATTGAAAGTTTAAATATTTGTAAAGACCAAAACAAAGAAAGTGTCAAGGATTAGGTATCAAGGCATTGGTACTTTTATGTTACAAGGCGTCCAATGAGTTACCTGCGATGTCTGATCTTGATCTCTGACAGGACCCAGGTCTATGAGCTTTTCGTTCGTCGAGTTCACGTTGCTCCACTTCATCATTGACAGGGATGTAGACGAGGGGTCGCTCGCCTTGCGACGAGTCGCTTGATTATCTTGTCTGGTCGTGGATTGCAGCGGTATAGGTTTCTCATTTTTGCTCCTCTTCGGGATCGCCGGCGGCCTCAGTGGAATTGGCGGTGGTGCTACCTGCGCCGAAATCGGACAGTTTGCAACCTTCTCCTCGCCCGTGCTCTCATCATTTTAAAGTAAACACGTCGGGATTTTCCAGACTTTACACGGAGAAAAATAATTCGCTGGCCCAGCAAATTTTCTGCTGGTCTAGCAAAACCTTTTCGTTATTACATGGACAGCAAAAAGATTTGCCAAGAATACGAATCACTATTTACTGGATATAATTTGCTGAATCTACAAATTATTTTGCTATAAGAACCATGATGGATTTATATAAGCAGTTGTAGTTTTGTTCCGATAGCATAAATTTGCTAAGGATACATTATTTTGCATCAAAAGCAAATTAACGTGATTCTTAGGACAAATATACTTAACAAATTTTTTCTATCCTGGCAACGAAACTACTTCTGCTCTGATAACGAATAATTTGTAAAATTAGTTACGTTAACTAAATTTTTTTTCATGTCACTACGAATATGCAGTAGCAACGACGATTTTGCTAAAAGAGCAAAATTATTTTTCTCCGTGTACTCACTGCTCTTCTTTCCGACAACAAACTCTATATAACACTTGCGACCGCATCCTTCCTCCTAGACAATCTTCCTGATAACTCTTTATCCTCTTTTATCCTCTCAACATTAAACAATCTCACGAGATTTCTTACTTTGACAGCGTCCTCTCTTATAATAAACCACGGAGAAGAAACTTTAATATCCCCAGTAATAAAATCAATTCTGGCGACTTCGCGCGCGCGAGAGAGATAAAATGCTCGTGGACAGCTGTCAGATCGAAGACGCGATCTCGCTTTTATTTCAATTCGCATCTTTCTTCGTCGTTAAACGAAATTCCGCGACTCACGTGGGACAACTAGATTGGAAATTCATCGCGGTAACATCACCGTTGGGAAAAGTTCAAGCAATGAGCTGCACGACTTGCAAATTGTTGCGAAAGTTACACGCGAAAGTTTACAAATGCTTGTCGCAGCCTGAAGACAAGCATCGAGTTTAACTGGCTTGTTGATACACGGAAAGTAATACGCAAGTTCATTAGCTTCAAACACTTATCGTCGGCGAATCCTCCCGGCGCTTCAACACCTCGAGTGCTTCCAACGCGCTTTACCGTCCCAGATGCTGCGACCGAGTCTACCTCCGAAAGCTTGTCGAACGTTGCCTCGGATAACGAGACATCTTCCGTTCTTCCCATTAACAAGTCAAGGTAATTCCACTCGCGCCGAAACTGCTTAAAAAGTTACGCGAGTCCTCCTCTCAAAAAGATTTACACGCGCAAACGAGAAACTACTCGTGGCGAAACTTGCTGCGCTATTTTTGGCGCGGTGTCGTGTAATTACGTCATGGCGACCCGTCGGTACGGCGATATTAATTCGCAAAGTGGCGGCATACCACTAACTACCGAGTTTTAGTCGCATGATTTAAGGTGTCGAGATTACGTGGTCCGCTGAGATACCGACGATGCGGTTGCAACTTTCCTAACTTACCTGCGTGGGACGGGAGAAGATGCAAAGTTTGGAAATCCTTTTAGCATCTTCCGTCTCTCCGTCACATTTTCTCCCTTAATCATCAGGGCAACTTATCCTTTAATATCCCACCGTTGTTCGACGCGGAGGCTTTTATTAAAATGGATAGCTCACATACCGTGAATATCGAACGAAACGCTAACTAGTCAGGTCGACGACCAACAGAAATAAGTAGAAATTCTTACCGCCGGGGTAGCGGAATGTCGACGTGGTATTGGCGGCGGTACATCGCTTCCGGTGGGTGGTGGTTCCGGAAGCAGGGAAGTTCTGGCTGGCAGACCGATGCTGTGAATTCTGTTCTGTCTGAAATTCAGAACGGATTGTGTCGCTTAATATTTGCCAGGCGCGAAACGGCAGACGCGAGTCTCTGAACGTGACAATCGCGACTTCACGAAATGACCTGTTTCTCAAACACGAAAATTGTCGAAATAATTACAGTGCAGTGAAAGCCTGCTTTACTGCAGGCACTAATTGCGACGCTCGCCGCTCCTACGGCAAAGATAAATGATCACATCATGAAGCTTAATGATCGTCAAGATGCGTAGAGAGAAGATCGAGTTAAAATATTAGTCTCAACATTAAATGCATTTTGTGCATTTAGCGTTAAAGGTACATGCAAATCGCAGCTGAATTACGCGTTTACGTGAGGAAATTTCCACTTCGTTTTTCATTACTATCCGTATCTATTTCGGAAAAGACTCTGTCTGTAATTTCGAGAAGTCACGACGATGCATGTAGAAAATTTTATCTATAATAGGAAAAATACGTGACAGTCGCTAAGACAACATCACGACACCTTGACTTGAATTGGCTGTAACTTTAGAGAATCACGACGACGCACGTGGAAAATTTTATCTACAATGAAAACATGCGTGACACACACTGGGAGAAACTCACGGCGCATTTTATGCCGATATACCTGATCACGACTAGTCCATAAAATTTTATACATACACTGAAATTATAGAAAGCTTCTTGAATAGATTAACTAACAGTAAGATTTGAAAAGGCAAATAAGGAGCAAGAACGGATGTGTTAGTGCTATTAAATACTAATATTACTTTTTAATATTAATATGATAAGTGGGAGGATAAAATTATCCAGCATGTTAAACGCACGTATCGAAATTTTTCTTCGAATAGATTAACTAACAGTAAGTATGGAAGGTTGATTCTCCGCGTACGATAATCGAAAAAAAATTTCGATGCGTGCGTTTAACATGCTGGACAATTTTATCCTCCCACTATTAATATTAAAAAGTAATATTAGTATTTAATAGCACTAAGACATCCGTGCTTGCTCCTTATGTGCCTTTTCAAATCTTACTGTTAGTTTATACATACACATTTACGAATATTGATATCTAATCACTCAAATGCTACATTAACGTGTTTATTGCACGAAGGCAGTAACATACACTCTATCTCTTCCATAAAAAATATAATTGTGATAAAATCCCCGAAAGTACTTCTTGCAAAAATTCAAGAAAACGTATATAAACGACGGTTGAGCACGGAATAAGCATCAATCATACAGTAATCAGTCCTGTAGTAAACACATCAGTTTCACGAAAAGCAGCAAGATGAAACCGTCGGGTCTCACGTTGGCTTTCTTGGTAGTTTTTATGATGGCGCTCATGTACAATTCGGTAGAAGCGGCACCAAACCCTGATGCTGATGCCGAAGCCATGGCTGAAGCTTTTGCCAACGCTATTGCTACTGGCGATGCCGATGCTATAGCTGGATGGGGGGTATGTATAACTCACATAGCAATGATAATCACAATATTAATCGCATATTCACTGTCAAATTGACTGTAAATCTCTATTTGCATATTTTAATTTTGTGTGACTTCAACTTTAGTATTTGCGATTATATTACATAAAACACACTTTTCGTATCACTCAAAATATATCAAACCAAATATACTTCTCTTAAAAAATTACATAAATTGCGTTAAACGTGTACTTAATGTGTACAACGTTTTAGAGACGTGTACTTAATATATATACAATACTATACATAATTTCTGAAATATATTAATATGATTTCTGTGTTTTTTACATATATCAAGGGTTGGCTTAAAAAACTCGTGAGTATATAAAAATAATACGTAAACAGAGAAATATATTTGATATTATTATTAAAGAAACAATTTTGTTTATAGGGTAAAGTAGTGATGAAAGTCGCACCCGGAGTGATAGAAGAAGTATCTAGTTAATAATAAAGAAGACAAATGAGAGAGAAAGGGAGAAATCACCACACCGGTAGTACCGATGGTACGACATGAATAATGCTTTACTATCAAAAATTTTCTGTTTACGACAATATCGTTTAAATTGATATTCTGTTAAAGAATAAAATTTTCTGCAAACACAAACATTTATTATCATTATCTCCTAATGCAGTTCCCAAATATAAAAATTGTCAAGATAATACTTGCGCAATGAGAGAGAGAGAGAAAGGACCAGTCTACAGCAGATATTAACCGTAGTATTCGCAATTCGTAAAATTAAATAATTATATTCTCAAGATTATTATATACCAACATTTTTAAGACAAATATAAAACGCCAGCGATGAATTCATTGTTATGTGTCATACTTTCACGAAAAAAGTATCTACTTCGTTATTTGCTTGCCTGCAAGTCTATCATGGAAATCTTGAAGGTTTTATTTTCACGGATCACAATATTCCACGTAGACAATTTTATTCATAAGCTGAAAAATTATTGCCGCCTTAAGAAATATCTTCTATTGCGTTTTACGTCGGCAACTTATCGTATAAACTCAATGAAATTTTAGGAACATAAATCTTTTTCTGCATCGATAACTAACATCGTTAAATATAGCATAAACGTGCTTTTTTTACACAAGATGTAAAGCCCTCTTTAATCTGAAATACGAATGTAATAAAAGCTGAAGATATCGCTCTTGTAACGACCTTGGAAAGCGTATAAAAACGACGCTATATGCCGACAATAAGTATTAAACGTGCAGTAAACGCAATATCAGTTTTACTAAATACTTCAAAAATAAAGCTGTTAGGTCTATGGTTGGCTTTCGCCGTAATTTTTGTTATGGCGATCGTGCACACTAACGTGCAAGCAGAAGCAGTAGCAAAAGCCAATGGCGATACTGATGCCAGTAATCATGTACGTATAACTTATATATCAATATTAACCGTAATGCTAATCACATCTTTATTATCAAATCTATTGTATATTTCCGTTGTCATGTTGCGCTTGCGTATGATCTAAACTTATGATTAAAATTACGTCGCAGTTTTTGTCATATCGCTTTACGAACAAATATATATATGTATATATTATGAATTATATATAAATAAAATTCTTATAAAATATTATCTAAGTTGTTAAAAGCATTGATAATACATATATTTGCTATATACAAAATATATCCGTATTCATTTAAATATATTAATATCACTTTTGTTTTTTTTACATAGATTCACTAAGTCCGGGTAAGTACACATAAATATTTCGTAGACAGATATCTGTACATGATATCAATATTGAAGGAACAATTCTATCTTTTTAGAAACATCACATAAGATTTGAGAGACGAGGCAAAACACACCACATTGTACATGGTTGAGGATAAAGACAAAGGAAAAACGGCGATATACAAAAATTATACGGAAGAAAAATGAATAATATACTGAGATTATCAAAAATTTCATTTTGATTGCATTTACTTGCGACAATTATGATGATGTTACTTAAACTAGCTTTCTATTGAAGAATAAAATTCTGTGCAAGTGAAAGTTTATCATTTTCATCATTACTCCTTAATGCGAATCCTAGTTTCCAAAATAATCCTGAAGTTAATCATATAATAAGCTTTACTGCAAGCATTAATTGCGACGCTCGCCGCTCCTACGGTGAAGATAAATAGTCGTCAAGCTTAATGATCGTCAAAATGCCTAAGAAGATCGATGCCTAAGAAAAAAAGATCGAGTCGAAACATTGGTTCCAATATTAAATGCATTTTGCGCACTTAACGTTAATATTACATGCAACATCGCAGGTGAATTACGTACGTTTACGTGAGCAAAGGAGGATATAACTTTTATATGAGGTTTCGCTACTCGGGAATCGCTCGGGAATCGTTTTATACACTGAGAAATATTTCAATCGGATAAATCAATTAAGTAATGTATCTGATTGTTAATTTTGCTATCCGATCAAGTGATAGATGCTTTTATCCGATATAATGCGGTTACCGATGGGAAGTTAGTCGCCTTTTGTATATCCGTTGTAAATTTTTATCGGATGTGGAACACGATTCCATCGGATGAAATAACGATAAGATCGTATGTAACTGGATAAAAAGAAAACAGTCGCGCAATATCCGATTGTATATTATCCGATGATTAACAATAACCGGTAAGATCCATTAGCATAACGTTCATTGGTTAAAACAATCTTTGACAGCTCGAAGACGTCTTTTGTCTTTCTACATGATCGATCATTATTGAAATTTATATCATTTGTGCAACATATCGGTTCACTATGAATGATAAGATATGTAATATACAAGAAATGTTACAAGAAATGAATATTGAAGAGAAGGTTATTAAACTATTAATAAATAAGGAGATTATTAAATTATTAATAAATAAGAGTATTTAATTCTTAAAATGAAATTTAATATTATAAAGCTCTACGCTAGAAGTCATAAAATCATGAAGAGTACAGAGTCATATTCGTAATAAGATTATGTTCACTCAATAAGGTTATATTCTGATCAGTGAAGACAGTCGTAGTTACACGGATATTTATGGGTCGGATTTCCGTTTGGATATGTCCGATTACTTTTTGTATCGGATATATAATTTGGTCGGATATATCCGTTTGTTTCTTTTGCATTGGATATTTTTCTCAGTGTATTCATATTTTCTTATATATTTTTTTTTCGTAGAAACCGAAAATTATCTGTATAACCACGCCAAATTTCAGGAAAAAAAAATATACAGGGTGCGGAATCCGGACAAATTATACATTTTTTTCAAAAAATATACAGGGTGCCAAAATCCGGACAAATTATACATTTTTTCCAAACATATTTTTTATTGCAAAAACGAAAAGGTTTACAAAAATGTTTTAACCACATTGTTTGTAAGGCCATAAAGAACACATTTACTCAATATATCCTCCGCTTGCTTGAATAACCGCCTCCATTCTCGGTCTGAAGCTTGCGCAGGCGCGCTTTAATGTGTCACGGTCCATATCGGTGAATGCCGCTTCAATATCGGCTCTCAATGATGCGACGTTTGGATGTCTGGACTTGTTCGTGACCCTTTCAACTACGCTCCATACATAGAAGTCCAAAGGATTCAAATCTGGGCTGTTGGGAGGCCAGAATTCTTTCGACCAAAACATGTCGACGTGGTCAGACAACCAATTTTGCATCAAATGACTCACTTTAATTGTATAAGACTTGTAGTGGAGGTCCTTCTCGACGATTCGACGCATAGTTTTCTCGCTCACACCAACAACCGACGACAATTTTCGGATCGACTGCCCTGGATCCTCAAAAATCAGTTCCTGAGCCAGTTGAATGATGTCGGGCGTCCTGACAACGCGTTCCTTCGAGTGGGTTTTCCTCACCGGTGTTGCAAAACCTTCATTGGATTTCTCCGACTCATTGTACTTTGCGATGACATCATACACAGTCGATCTCGGGTACCCGAAGAACCGAATGATTTCTGTCGCCGAGCACCCAGCGCGAACACTTTCGATAATCGCGGCTCTTTGGTTATACTCCGCGCTTGGTTTCAACATTGCGACTGTTTCGAGGTTATGATGGTTTAGTACATGCGTCAAGTTATTTGAACGCTAATCGCGATATCTATCAGTGGTATAAAACGGCGAGAATTTTAAATTGAATTTTGTCCGGATTTTAGCGCCGCACCCTGTGTGTGTATATATATATATATATATATATATATATATATATATATATATATATATATATATATATATTACTTATTTTCGCTCTCAAAGTCAGTATCTGCAGCACGGCGTGGTTCGCGGTGCTCATATATCGAGTCGCAGGGACCGCTTTAATGTTAAGTATACTAGAAAATATAATCTAATTAACGTCTTATGATGCAGTACTCGTATTTAGTCCAACTTTGAATTAATTTTTAAATTATTGGAGCATTTATACCGTTAATAAAAGAGATCCCCGAGCGGTCGCGAAACTTCTTGTAAAAGTTATACTCTCTTTTCCAGTTCGTTTTTGTTGCTGTTCGTATCTATTCCGGAAAAGACTTTGTCTGTAATTTCGAGAAGTCACGACGATGCATATAAAAAACTTTATCTATAATAGGAAAAATGTGTGACAGTCGCTAAGACAACATCACGACACCTTGGCTTTAATTGGCTATAACTTTAGAGAATCACGACGACGCACGTGGAAAATTTTATCTATAATGAAAACATGCGTGACACACACTGGGAGAAACTCACGGCGCATTTTATGCTGATATACCTGATCACGACTAGTCCATGAAATTTTATAAATACACATTTACGAATATTGATATCTAATCACTCAAATGCTACATTAACGTGTTTATTGCACGAAGGCAGAAACATATACACTCTATCTTTTCTATAAAAAAAAAAATTGTGATAAAATCCCCGAAAGTGCTTCTTGCAAAAATTCAAGAAAATGTATATAAACGACGGTTGAGCACGGAATAAGTGCATCAATCATACAGTAATCAGTCCTGTAGTAAACACATCAGTTTCACGAAAAGCAGCAAGATGAAACCGTCGGGTCTCACGTTGGCTTTCTTGGTAGTTTTTATGATGGCGCTCATGTACAATTCGGTAGAAGCGGCACCAAACCCTGATGCTGATGCCGAAGCCATGGCTGAAGCTTTTGCCAACGCTATTGCTACTGGCGATGCCGATGCTATAGCTAAATGGGTATGTATAACTCACATAGCAATGAGAATCACAATATTAATCGCATATTCACTGTCAAATTGACTGTAAATCTCTATTTGCGTATTTTGATTACGTGTGATCTTAACTCTAGTATTTGCGATTATATTACATAAAACACACTTTTCGTATCACTCAAGATATATCAAACCAAATATACTTCTCTTAAAAAATTACATAAATTGCGTTAAACGTGTACTTAATGTGTACAACGTTTTAGAGACGTGTACTTAATATATATACAATACTATACATAATTTCTGAAATATATTAATATGATTTCTGTGTTTTTTACATATATCAAGGGTTGGCTTAAAAAACTCGTGAGTATATAAAAATAATATGTAAACAGAGAAATATATTTGATATTATTATTAAAGAAACAATTTTGTTTATAGGGTAAAGTAGCGATGAAAGTCGCACCCGGAGTGATAGAAGAACTATCTAGTTAATAATAAAGAAGACAAATGAGAGAGAAAGAGAAAGAAATCACCACACCGGTAGTTTCGATGGAACGACATGAATAATGCTTTACTATCAAAAATTTTCTGTTTACGACAATATCGTTTAAATTGATATTCTATTAAAGAATAAAATTTTCTGCAAACACATTATTATCTGCAAATTATCTGCAAATATTATTTTCTGCAAACATTTATTATCATTACCTCCTAGTGCGGTTCTCAAATATAAAAATTATCAAGATAATACTTGCGCAATGAAAGGACCAGTCTACAGCAGATACTAACCGTAGTATTCGCAATTCGTAAAACTAAATAATTATATTCTCAAGGTTATTACATACCAATATTTTTAAGACAAATATAAAACGTTAGCGATGAATTCATTGTTACATATCATACTTTAACGAAAAAAGTATCTACTTCGTTATTTGCTTGCCTGCAAGTCTATCATGGAAATTTTGAAGGTTTTATTTTCACGGATCAGAATATTCCACGTACACAATTTTATTCATAACCTGAAAAATTATTGCCGCCTTAAGAAAATCTTCTATTGCGTTTTATATCGGCAATTTATCGTGTGCACTAATGTGTGAGGCACTAATTGTGACGTTCGCCTACGGCGAAGATAAATAGTCGCATCGTCCAGCTTAAGGATCGTCAAAATGCCTAAGAAGATCGATGCCTAAAAAAGAAGATCAAGTTGAAACATTGGTTTCAATATTAAATGCATTTTGCGCACGTAACATTAAAATTATATGTAACATCGCAGGTGAATTACGCACGTTTGCGTGAGCAAAGGAGGGTATGATTTTTATAAGAGGTTTCGCGACAGGTCGGGGGTCGTTTTATACACTGAGAAATATTTCAATCGGATAAATTAATTAAGTAATGTATCCGATTGTTAATTTTGCTATCCGATCAAGCGATAGATGCTTTTATCCGATATAATGCAGTTACTGATAGGAAGTTATCCGAACAAAAATGTATCTAGTAGAGCAGATTTCAAGATTAGTAGCTAAATAGTAATGACTAGATAAGTTTTCTAGTCTGTCACTAGCTCGTGACTGGCTAAATATTCCTACTCAGTGTTTTGAATGTCAGGACTATCTAATAACTAAACTAATTACGTAAGTAGTGGCTAGATGAAAAAGATTACACAGTCACGAGATAGAAAATCAGCGGTAAATCCTGAATAGAACTTGGACATCAGAACTGTCTAGTAACTGTACCACTGATAATTATAAGTTATTTTTTTGTATCTAGCTACTAGCTAATAATATTTCTGATACAGCCACTAGAAGAAGTGAGCGTTACATTCCTAGCTAGTAGCAATATAAGACCAAATTTTTCTGTGTCATTACTAGACAATCACTAGATTCAATTTTTGCTCGGGTAGTTGCCCTTTGTATATCCGTTGTAAATTTTTATCGGATGTGGAACACGATTTCATCGGATGAAATAACGATAAGATCGGATGTTGCATGTAATTGGATAAAAAGAAAACAGTCGCGCAATATCCGATTGTATATAATCCGATGATAAACAATAACCGATAAGATCCATTAGCATAACACAGTTCATTGGTTAAAACGATCTTTGACAGCACGAAGACCTCTTTTGTCTCTCTACATGATCGATCTTCACTGAAATTTATATCATTTGTACAACATATCGGTTCACTATGAATGATAAGATATGTAATGTATTACAAGAAACGAATATTGAAGAGAAGGTTATTAAACTATTAATAAATAAGGAGGTTATTAAACTATTAATAAATAAGGAGGTTATTAAACTATTAATAAGTAAGGGTACTTAATTCTTAAAGCGAAATTTAATATTATAAAGCTCTACGCTTGAAGTCGTAAAATCGTGAAGAGTACAAAGTCATATTCGTGATAAGATTATGTTCACTCAATAAGGTTATATTCTGATCAGTGAAGACAGTCGTAGTTATACGGATATTTATGGGTCGGATATCCGTTTCGATATGTCCGATTATTTTTTGTATCGGATATATAATTTGATCGGATATATCCGCTTGTTTCTTTTACATTGGATATTCCAGTTAAATATAATTGGATATTTTTCTCAGTGTATTCATATTTTCTTATATATATTTTCGTAGGAATCGAAAATTATCTGTATAACCACGATTTAAGAAAAAAAAAAAATATATATATATATATATATTACTTATTTTCGCTCTCTAAGTCAATATCTGCAGCACGGCGTGATTTGCAATGCTCATATATCGAGTCGCAGCGACCGTTTTAATGTTACGTATAGTAGAAAATATAATCTAATTAAAGTTTTACGACTAAATACTCGTATTTAGTCCAACTTTGAATTAATTTTTAAATTATTGGAGCATGACTGACAGTGATTTTACGAACGACGCAAATAGTATTATTTTCACTTG